AATAATACATAACTATTTTGGGAAACACTCGCGTTAATTCATATTTATTGGAAGAATCATAGATAACCTAATCTTAAGTCTATGTGGGTACGACATATGGCTCTTAAAAAGAGATATTTTATTACTTGCGCGACCATATACACTTGAGTGTGTGTTAGGGACGCAACACAAAGCATCTAGTCTAGCTCCATGAGGTTCCTCATATTCAGCCGATTACAGCCTGATCTTTTTTGTATCTTTTAGTGTTTTCTGGTCTAAGATATTGTTATCGGGCGGTTGTCAACGATAACATTGTCTCTCCTTTCTGCTCTAGTTATTTTTCATTCAAGTAACAAATATTGAATGAATGACAATTTCCTTTTGCATATTATTTTATAATTATAAGTTTTTGGTCTCTTTGCGATAAGTGTGTTACATGTATTTGATTTGACCTTCTGAATTAGCTCATGACTTGTTATGTGATTGTTCTTTTAACTCATGTCTGAAGTTTTGATGATTGAACAATCTTTGGACCTGATCCCTAACGAGACAGAGAATTTCGTACAACAAACTATAGTTGTCCAAAAAGCCTGCTAGGGTTGGTATGCAGCCCCCACTATACAACAGACCCTTAGCCAATGAGATTGTTTTGTGTATTTGGGTTGATCCTATAATATGTCTATTCTCCATTATCACACACAAGTTTTTGCAAATAGAATTTTCAAAAAGAAAAACTTTGCTAAATCACACCCCAAGAATGGGGAGTTTTTGCCGCACATCAAGAAATAACAAAATACACCTAAAATGATACTAAAATCAAATGGGTATAACAAAATTAAACCTTGATTTAAGAAAAGGAAGAAGAATGGAGAAGACCCACGTCCAACTTGGGGAAGATGAAACCCTTCTTTCTTCAAGTCTCCAAAAAAAAAACCCTTCCAAACTTGAGAGAAAATATTCCAAAAAAGTACTATTCTGTATTATTATAATAATGGTTCGACTCTCTAAAATTAATTATTTACAATCTCACTCTTATACAAGATCATATCTCTATATTTATATACATCTAACCGACTCAATGATAAAATATCTATTCTAACTAAACATCTGAAATTACCAACTAACCCCGAAGTTAGTTATAATTTGTTATGCCAGCTGGCTTCTTTAGTTGGTAGCTTCATGTTCTCAACAATATATATGTATATTAACTTGTGAACCCCTAACAAAATTGATTGATGGCTTAGTGGTAAGGAAGGGAGTGTGAAAATGCTTTCCACAAATGTACAGTTTATTGTAGACCAAGAGAGAATGTTTTAGTTAGAACATATATTGTACGTTCATCATTTGTTCAAGATCATGCTCTATTATTGTTAATCTAATTTTGTGGTTAGAGAAGATGATCAAATGGTCCTTAATTTATAATATTTCAGTTTTTGATGGAAATAGTAAATCAATTTTGGGAAGGAAGAGACGAAAGCGTATTCTTGGCATTGGATAATCTTGCAACTCTAAGAAGAGGAAAAACAAAGTGCAAGCAAGTTGGCCACAAGAAAATGTGTTAATCTTTGAGATAACATTTCACTTGACTTTTTTTTACAGTTCAATATATTATTGGTGGTATATTTTGAATTTTTGCTTAGTCTTTTATTGAATAACATTTGGTTCACAATAAATAACCTAACAGTAATTATGCCATACATATTGAAACAAAAAGGAAAATAATCGAGCCCGCTAAATGCACAGTGTCCCCTTAAGGAAATTATTCTTCTCTAGTACCTGAGGTTTTAAGGAATAGATTCTCCCTGGATAGAACAATTCTATTCACCAGTGTATTGATACAAAAATAATGTTGTCAGCGAGCCATTGTGAAAATTGAGGAATCACAAGTATTTATAGCCAAGAAGCACTGTTTATGAAAGTTTGCAACTTTCCAAAATAGTACTAATACATGATTGTTCATGAAAGTTTGCAACCTTCCAAAAGAGTCATGGTTGTTCCTGAAAGTTTACAACCTTTCAGAACAGTCATGGTTGTTCCTGAAAGCCTACAACCTTCAGAACAGTCTTTTTAAAAACGATGAGAAATTTAAATAAAATGGGAAAGGCGTCTTAAATAAACAGTCGCGCGAATTTGCCTTGGGTTGGATCATTTTGGATTGGCAATTAATTAAATAATTAAAGAAAACTTTGTCAAAAAATTCGTAAAAGCCATAGCCGTAGTCAAAGCTGAGCCAGGCGAGCGATGACGACGGTGCATGGGGGTCCCTCTTTATAATCCATTTAACAACTAGTAAACGTGTTTCCTTATTTAAACACTTGAATTATTTTCTCCACCATCAATGAGGGAGAATTGTTTTTTACTAAAGCACAAGAAAAACTTCATTCCCTCCTTTCATCTTCCCTCCATTTCCCATTAATGCTTACTATATGCCCAACAATCCCCCGTATGAATGAGGATTGACTATAACATAAAGAAATGCACGGACAAGTGTGTACTTTTCAAGCAAGGATCAAATGCATCTGGCTAAGTAGGTTTTCCTTTGAACTTTCCATAGTGAACATATGTCGGATATACTCGGTCAATCGGTAGACTTGATATATTTGAACCGTCAAGTTTTGATGTATACCTAGAAAACCATATCTCACACAATCAACCCTTTACCATTTATGGTTCTTACTGTTGTGTTCATTCAGCCATGAACACCTCATAATTTCATGAGTGTATAAATAATAGACTTTTTACAATAATTCTCTTTGAAGATGCTTACACTTCCGACTTTTGTGCGTCCAACTACATATATCTCTAAATACATGGAGTCAAAATTAGTTGTAATTTGTTCTAGATACATGAATGTATCCAAGTGGATTCATATGAATCTAGGATACATAAACGAATCTCCATCGCCTCCCTCCCATCTCGCTCATCACTCTCATATCTCACTTGCGTATATGGTATCCTAGATACACGTGAATCACACAAAATACATGTATCTAGTGTGATACACATGTATTTGGATACATAGACTAACCTCGCTCGCCTCCCTCCTATTCTCGCTCGTGTCTCTTTCTATTTCATTGTATCTAATAGGAAAAATATATATGTAAGTGTATCTAATATAAAATATAATATATAATTATTAAATAGTGAAATAAAATATAATTATTTCAAACTATAAAAAAATCATAAATAAATAGTAAAAGAATTTGTGTAATTAGATAGTTTCTCCTATTATTTATATTTTATATATATTTATATCAGAAGTGTGAATGTTGAGGAGCTTAGGATCAGACGGTCAATCGACAAGTTTGCCCTTCTGCCTTCTCCTTCAACTTCCTCTATTTTCATTTATTGTTTTATCCGTTTTAATTTATTTGTCTTATTTTTCTTTTTTATATATTATGTATTTACAATAATAGTATTAAAAATCAACTTAAAATATTAAAAATTTGGTTAACTCTGAAAATTTCACCCAGACTGCATCATTGAGACTGGGGAGTGACATATATTATTTGAAAATTAAGTTAAGAGTACTATAAATCACAATAACTAACAATTTAAAATAACTGAAAAAACACATTAAAACGTGATTGACTCTCAAAATTTTACACGTGCCACATAAATTGGGACAAAGGGAGAAACATATATGCTATTTAAAAATTACGTTAAGAGTACTATAAATCACAACTTAAAATGTTTAAAACATATTAAAAATATGATCAACTCTCAAAATTTTACACGTGCCACATAAATTGTGATAGGGGAAATAACATATATTATTTAAAAATTATGTTAATTAAGAATACTTTAAGCCACAATAATTAACAATTTAAAATATTTTTAAAAAATATACTTAAAATTTAGCTAAGTTCAAAATTTCACATATGCCTCATAAGTTCAGAAAAAGTGAGTAACATATATTAAAATAATTTTAAAAATATATTAAAAAATTGATTAACTTTCAAAATTTTACTGTGCCACATAAATCACAATAATTGACAACTTAAATATTTAAAAAAACATATTAAAAATGAGACAAGTATCAAAAATACACCTAAACTATTCCTTTTTTTTTAGTTTTATACCTAAACTATTGAGAGTGTGCGTTTAATACCTAAACTATTATTACTTATTAGTTTGAGAAACACACCTTAGTGGTGTATGTTATACACTCTCTCTTTTATTTGCAAAAACCTTGCCACATGACAGTCCATATGGATAAAATATTCCGTCTTGACAAAAATTAAATAAACTATTAATCATTTTTGCCATATGACATTCCACATGGATAAAATATTTCACCTTGACAAAAATTAAACAAACTATTAATATTTGTAAATATCTAAAGATTAAAGTATTACTATCCAAAAGAAAGATTTTAAAAAAAAAAAGAATTACTTTTAAAAAATAAAATTTGAAATATTTTTCTCACTCCATCACTCCTCCCCGACCATGCCCCGTTCTTTTATTCTCTAAAATTTCTTTTATAAAATATTTTAAAAAAAAAAAAACCTCACCCCTCCCCCACTCCTTCCTAATATTATCTTTTTTTAAAAATAAAACAAAATAATCTACACCATCGCATCTAACACTCCTTTTTTTTTTCCATAAATATTATTTAAAAATATGTTTAAATTATTACAAAAATAGTTAACAACAAAAAATATTAAAAAATGTAATTGACTCTAGTAATTTTATCAATATCACATAAATTAATCAAATAAAGTAATGAGATAAGTGGTTAAAACACACCTAAACTATACCTTTTTTTTTAGTTTCATACCCGAACTATCGAAAGTCTGAGAAACACACCTAAACTATTACATTTTATTTTGAAAAACACACCTTAAGTAAAATATGATAGTGTGTGTATTACACTCTCTCAATTATTATTTTTTAAATGCCACATAGATTGACACATGGAAACAAAGTCCACCATGTCAAAAGATTAAAGTTTAACTTTCAACATGTAGAAGCATCTTTCTCTGTTCTCAGTTGAGTCTCTTTGGTGTGTGAAAATTTGAGTAAATTTAGGGTTTTCACTATTAATTCACAAATTCATCATGGTTTCAAGGTTAGTTACTCATTTGTCAAAAAATGTTAGGGTTCTTATTTTTGTCTCAAAATAGTAACGATTTTGTATAATTTTTTAGGTTTTGATCCATACCATCTGAAAAGAGTTGAAAGGAGAAGAAATTGACTACATAAGGTACTCTTTCTTTTACTCCTGAACTTAATTTTCGTACTGGTGGCGATTTTTAGCTACTGATTTCATGAACAATAGTTGGCTTATTAAACTTTGCATATTTCAATTGTTCTAAGGTAATGGACACTAAGTACGTAAATTTGAGGTTTCACATCGGTGGTATACTTGTGAGTGAGGTAGGACCTGTTTATATTGGGGGGGAAAAAAGAATATGCCTTCAATGTTGATATAGACCATTTGTCTATTCCAGAAGTGAATGACTATTGCAGGGATTTTGGGGTTACCAATATAGAAAAAATATATATTGGAGCTGCTCAAGTTGGCAATTTGGTAGAATTGGTTAAAGATAGGGATTTATTGGTCTTAGCCAATTTGTTGGTTGTTGGGGGTACTATGGACATTTATATCTGCCATAAAGGGGAAGTTTTTATCAAAACAACACATGTGACCAATGAGTCTTTTGAGACCACATGCAATGAAGTGGATAGACCTAATAAAGAATCTACCAACAAAGCTGGTGAAGGTCTCAATGCACCTTTAGGTAAAGAAATAACACTTATTGATGGTAGAAATCAAATTGTCGGGGTCCAACAATCAAATCTAAAAGAAAATGGCAGCAGAAACACAAATGAAGCTGAAGATGAATTGAAGTTTTCTAGTGAAGATGAAGATTTGGAGGAAGATGAAGTAGAAACTATTGTGCATAGTGATGCTGAAAGTGATGAGAATGTTGACTTTTCTAGTGACGAGGATGGTTATGGGAGTGATATTCATGAAGAGCTAAGCATAGTTAAGAAGGATTTGAAAGCATATTTGAAGAAAAAAAAAGAGCCAAGGAAAAAAAAAATTGCTGAGTGTTTTTTGGGAGAAGTTGGCATAGATCCTGGTTTTGAAGACATTGATAAACCTAAGAAAAATTTAACTGGTAAGCTAGTAGGTGATGAGCCTTTTTATGACAGTTCTGATGCCGATAGTTTTGAAAGTGAAAGTGAGGGGGAAATAGATATTGAAAGATCTGATATTTTAAGGGCAAGAAAGAAGAACAAGAGGGTCTCATATGATCCAACATGGAAAAAAGTTGTGTGGCAACTTAATATGGTATTTGAAAATGTAAAAAAATTTAGAGAAGCTTTGAGCAAGTATGCAATTGAGAGAGGTTGTCAACTGGATAAGATCCACAATGATCAAAGAAGGGTCAGAGTAAAATGCAAAGCTAATGGATGTCCTTGGATACTTTATGCAAGCAAAGATTTCAAATCTTCCGATTTCATTATAAAAACCTACAATCCTAGACATAAGTGTTATAGGACCAATACCAACACAATGTGCAACTCTAAGTTTTTGGCTAAGTACTATAAAAGTAGAATTGTTTCTCAACCTTGCATAAAGGGATGGGAAATACAAGATTTGGTCAGGACAGACATGGGATTGTATGTTGGTAAGTTCGTGTGTTTGAAGGCCAGAAAAATGGTGTTGAAAAAGATAATGGGTGATCATGTTGCTGAGTTTAGTAGAATCTATGACTATAGAGATATGCTTCTTGAATCAAATCCAGGAAGCACTTGTGTGGTGAAAGTGACAAATTGTGATGATGGAAAAAAACTCTTTCATTCCTTTTATATTTGTTTTTCAGCTTTGAAAAAAGGATTCATTGAGGGTTGTAGAAAGTGCATTGGGTTAGATGGTTGTTTTTTGAAGGGAATATCTAAAGGCCAGCTACTTGTTGCTATTGCAAAGGATGGGAATAATCAGATGTTCCCAATAGCATGGGCTGTTGTTGGAACTCAAAGTAGAGAAACTTGGACTTGATTTTTGAGAATCTTGAAATCTGATTTGGACATTAATGATGAAGGAGAAGGATTGACTATCATAAGTGATATGCAAAAGGTACGACTTTTATCCTCTGTTTTCAGCTTTTTTAGCCAATATTAGCTGCTATTTTCAGGTATTTTAGCCAATATTAGCTGCTATTTTCAGCTTTTTAGCTGCTGTTTTCAGCTTTTTTAGCTACTGATTTTACAAGTTTTAGTTAATGTGTTTTAAGTAATTTTAGCTACTAATTTAAGCTCTTTTTTAACCTCTGTTTTCATCTCTTATCATCCAATTTTAACTACTGATTTCATGAGTTTTTTAGCTGATGTGTTATAAGTAGTTTTTAACTATTGATTTCAGCATTTTGTAAGGACCTTTTGATAGTTCATAACAACATTTTATCTTGTCCACAAAATTAGAAACTCTAGTGGTACTTTGTTATTCAACTTGTTTAGCTACTGTTTTTTTTGTGCTACTATTTTCATCCCTTTTAGCTTTAGTTGTTAAGTGATGTTAGTCTTAGTTGTGCGGACTCTTCACTTTTGATGTCACACTTGTATTGAATTAACAAATACAAGTTGTCGGGGTCCAAATGCATATATTTTAGTTATTATTTTGAGTGATTTTAAACACATAAGTTTTTCAGGGATTATATTTAGCTGTTCAGGAGTTGCTTCCAGAATGTGAACAAAGAATGTGTGCAAGACATATACTTGCAAACTGGTCCAAAAACTGGAAAGGTGTTGAGGAAAGAAAGAGGTTTTGGGCTTGTGCTAGATCAACATTTGAAGCTGAACTCAGGAAGAACTTGGATAAATTAGCACAATTAGGCAAAGATATTTCTAATGACTTGGTAAACTTCAATCCTAATAGATGGTCCAAAGCACAGTTTAGGACATCCTCAAAATGTGACAGTGTGGATAACAATATGGCTGAAAGTTTTAATGCTTGGGTGTTGGGTGCTAGGCACAAGACTATCATCAGTATGCTTGAAGAAATAAGGAAAAAGGTAATGAATAGATTCACTAAAGTGATAACATTTGTAAATAGTTGGACTCATGACATTTCTCCAATGGCAATGTTGGTGCTAAATACAAATGTGAAGAAGTCAATAAGGGTGGAAATTAGTTGGAATGGTGATATTGGGTATGAAGTGAAGGATAGTCCATATATACATGTGGTTAACCTAATTCAAGGAACTTGCACTTGTAGAAGTTGGGGATTGAAAGGGATTCCTTGTGCACATGCAATAGCAGCTATACATCACGATGAAGCTAATCTCCTTGACTCGATTTGCAAGTGGTACAAAAAAGAAACCTACCTGAAAGCTTATAAACATTTTTTACAACCAGTAACAAACATGAAGATGTGGCCTGAGACATTGAATCCAAAAGTTGAGCCACCTCCTGTTAGGAAAATGCCAGGAAGGCCTGGTAAAAAAAGAAAGAAGGAACTTGGAGAGGTACCAAGTTCTGGAAAGCTTCCAAAGAGGGGAAAAACCATGAGTTGCTCCGCTTGTAAGTCAAAAGGTCACAATATAAGAACATGTCCAAACAAACCTCCAGCCACTTCAGAGGTACATTTGATTTCTATTAATGTTTATTTATAGTATATTAATACCTTTAACACTTTCAAAATTATTCTTTGCATAGGGTATTGCTACATCACAAGCATCTGCCAGTAGTAAAAGAAGTGGCAAGCAGAAATCTCACCCCACTCAAGCAGTGCAACAATCTCAATCTTCTGAACCATCTCAAGCAATAGTGCAAAGTGACAATGGTAATAGAAAAGGTGCAAATAATGCATTTAAGAGGCCAAGAGTAGTGGGTCATGGAGTATTTGTGAGCAAAGATGGTTTTATTTGTGCCGAGGTAAAAACGAGAGTTAATAAGCTTATATTCTTGATTAAACTTCTTAAAAATAATTTAACGACTCTTTATTACTTTACAGCAAGGAAGATCTATTAGTAGGGTAATCAAGAGTGGAGCACAAGAGAAACTGATAAGTTCAGCTATTGTCACCGGTGACCTTGGGTATGCACCAAGTAAAGGTCTTAAATGGAAGGGGAAAAGTGCTATCACAGGAAGACAACTTCAACATAAAAGTGCTTTGCTTAGACAGAAGAACATCAAGTCACAAACTTCATCACAAGGTGCAACAAGAACTGAAGGTGTTTAGGGATGATGTGGCTGATTTTTCATGTGGCTCGAACTATTTTTAAGTCACGTATTTTGGTTGTGAATAGGACGATGTCGACTTTTAGTTATGAATTTTAATGTTACTAAACACGGTGACTAATTTGCAGCCCAAGTAGTTATTGTAATCTACTAAACACGGTGACTGATTTTTCATGTGGTTCGAACTGTTCTTAAGTCGTGTATTTTGGTTGTGAATATAATGGTATCGAATTTGGGTTGTGAATAGGATGGTATCAAAATTTGGTTGTGTATTTTGATGTTACTAAACACAGTTACTGATTTGCAGCCCAAGTAGTTTAATATAGTTGTAGGTTGCTCTACAAATTGAAGCATGCATTACTTGGTTTTAGTGTTTCTATACTATACAAACTAGAGCCAACCAATTTTCTACTTCGAGCTACTAAAAATGCTTTGGTGACTTCTATCCTTAGCTGCTCATAGTTGTTTAAATAGTCGTAATCAGCAAATGATTGATGAAGTAGTCCGTAAAAAGCGACAATTCAATAGAAAGAAAATATGCTCTATTTGGTGGCATAATGATACCACAAATATAGTCTAACTAGTTATTAAACAAACAAAAAAATAGAATTTGATGTCATGGACAAACACTCACCCCTCAAATTATTAAAGCTACCAAAAGGCGTCGTGGATTCCTTGTATGGCATCATTGATATACAAATATCAGTCCCTTTTGAGCGAGTTTAAGAAACTAGTGTAACATATAATTTAAGGTGTGTTTCTCAAATTTATGAATGATAGTTTAGGTGTGTTTCTTACTCTCCTAATAGTTTAGGTGAGGAAGTCAAACAATTTTATAGTTTAGGTGTGTTTTGATATTTTATTTTTTAAAAAAGAAGAAGCCATGTGGACGAAAATCAAGGCCACACGCACGTAAAAGAGTGTGTACACACATTTGGTCCAGTCAGCACAGAGGTGTGTTTTTCAAACTAAAGTGTAATAGTTTAGGTGTGTTTCTCACACTTTCAATAGTTCAGGTATGAAACTAAAAAAAAAAGGTATATTTTAGGTGTGTTTTAACCACTTATCTCTAAAGTAATATATATTCGCCCCTAACTTTTTTATCTAGCATATAGAGAGGAGATGAAATGGAAAGGGGCGTTTCCGCATGGGGACAAAAATGTAATCCTCTTACATAGAGAAAAAGAAGAGCAGAATTTGCTTGATGATCAACAGTAATGGATATGCTCTTGCCTTCACTTTCTCTTTCTTACCCTAAAGTAGCAGGTACTCCACAACACATTCTACAACGCTGAACATCAAAAAATTAATAAATTAACTGGGGTTTTGTATCCCAATAATGTAAAGACTAAAGAACATTTTCTGATTAATATTTGTTAGGTAAATGGCAAAATTGTAGAAAATTTCTGGGTACCAATAGGGTCGCTAGAATGTGTGCATTTACACCTTCGAATTCGAAGAAGAAAACAGTATGGATATGGACGGAGAACAAGCAAGTAATGACAGCTGCCGTGGAGAGAGGCTGGAATACTTTCATCTTCCCTTCCAATCGCCAAGATCTTGCCCTTGACTGGTCTTGTAAGTTTTTCTTGTCTTCCTGCACTTGTTGCTCATTCCAACATTTAAACACATACACCCATTTTTTATTTATCCAATATTTACTTGCTACACCCCTTAACAAAACAATAATTAGAATGACACTTTTATTTTATTATCCATTGAATATAATAAATTCAATACTTTGGAAAATGACTAGAGTTACTAATAAGGTTAAATTAGTAACTTAGTGATCGTGGACCATGTTTATTGGTTGTACTACTTTAAGGTTTTGGTGGAGCATTTATATTGAACAATTTTATTTACCGCTTTCATACTAGTTTTCCAATTCTTTATTTGTTTCTTGCAGAATATTCAACTGTCATTAACTAACCTAATATAAAGGTTTGAGGTATAGACGAGAAAAATACTTTTATTCACGTACAACCTTCTCTTTAAATAGAGACAATACAGAACTCATAAGGTACATTACAAACAGAAACTTAGAGTACAAGAAATTATTGAAGTCCTAAATAGTAAAGATGACTAACTACATATATCATCACATGGCTGAAATATAGGAAACTAATAACAGACTCCTAAACAAAAGGATAACATCTATTATCTGTTAATATGCCCCGCAAGTTGGGGGTGACTGGAACAAGACCCAACTTGTGAAAATGGCACTGAAAAGCCGTATGTGGAAGAGCCTTGGTGAGGAAATCAACGACTTGATCAGCAGAGTGAAGGTGACTAACCTCAAGTGCCCTTCTGTTGAACTTGCTCACGAACAAAATGAAAGTCAATGACTATATGCTTCATCCTACTGTGAAAAAGAGGATTAGCACAAATGTAAGTGGTGCTTAAGTTGTCACAGAAAATAGTTAGTGAAGCAGACAACGATAGGTGAAGACTCCAAAGCAAACTCCTTGCCAATTGACTTTAGAAACAACATCAACAATAGCTCGGTACTCGTACTCGGCTTCCGTAGATGAGCGGGAGACAAACTTTTGCTTTTTGGAAGACTAAGAGACTGGTGAGTTCCCAAGGTAGACAACATAACCCGTTGTTGATGTTCTATCTTGTGGATTTCTAGCCCAATTGAAGTCGGAATAAGCAAGTAAATGGTTTGCTGGTTCGCGAATGAGCTGAACTCCCACTATGCTTGTGTGTTTCAAGTAGCGCAACAAACATTTGGTAGTTTTCCAGTGAGACACTTCTGGATTGTGCATAAACTGAGACAACTTGCTCACAGCAAACCCGATGCCAGACCTAGTGAAGGATAGGTAGTGAAGGTTACCAATGACTCTTCTGTATAGAGAATGTCAACTACTGAATCAGCGAAGGTGTAGGTTGATGTCATTGGCGTTTGAATACCCTTGCAATCAGTCATATGCAATTCCTCCGGAAGATCCATGACATATTTTTGTTGTGAAAAAAAGATGGCAGTTGGCGTGGATATCACCTCAATACCCAAAAAATAATGCAAGAGGCCAAGATCTTTGAGAGAGAATCGTAGGGAAAGTGCTGTGATTACGGACCTGACACTTCCTTGAAAACTGCCCGTAATAAGTACGTCATCAACTTATATGAGAATGTATTCAATAACACCAAAATTAGGAAAGATAAACAAAGATGAGTCAGATTTTGATCTAACAAACCCAATACTTGTCAAGTAGGTGGTGAGCTCGGTGTACCAAGCCCTAGGAGCATGCTTAAGTCCATAGATGACCTTTTTGAGCTTGCAAATGTATGTTGAATGTTGAGAGGACTCAAAACCAGGAGGTTGCTGCATGTACACGTCTTCTTCAAGACTGCCTTGCAAAAAGGCATTATTTACATCTAACTGATGAATAGGCCAGGAGCGTTGAGCAGCTTTGCTTTCATTGCTTCCTGCCATTGGGGATAGAGTTGTGCTTGACGGAAGGAGCGTGGAATTGATTTTGACAAGAAAGTTGTTGGGTTTGAGGCTATTTGTTTTTGAGCGGGTAACCATTGTGTGAGAAAGGGTGTGTGGTTGCGATAGTGGCGGGAGTTAAGGGGGTTGGACAGATGTGGTAACTGTAGAGTTCCGACCTCTATAGGTTCTGGTGATGGGTGGCTTACTGGTTGTTATTGGAGAAAGAGGAACAAGAGTGGATTGAGTGGGGCAGGGAGAAGCAGAGGTACTTGCTGGATTGTTGAGAGAAGGTGGAAATGTACCTGAGCTTGGCGATGCCGCTGAGGGAGGACAGAGAGAGACCTTTGAGCACCCGTAGACAATGACTGAGGTAGTTCAAAACAATGTGGCTCTGCTGGGATATCAGAAATTTTCAAATGCTGATTTTTATAATTAGAAAAAATATTGGTAAAAGGGTAACTAGTTTTAAAAATACTACATCTCTAGAATGATAAACTTTGGAGGTGGTCGGATCAAAGCAATGATGGCAATAATATTTATTTGAAAATCTCAAATAGACACAGGTCTTTGATTTCGAATCAAGCTTATTTTGTGCATATGCTTTTAACCATGAAAAACATAAACAACCAAAAATTTTGACGTTGTCATAATTTGGTGATTCTTGAAATAAAAGCTCGTATAGACACTTGTCTTTTAAATTTGGGGTTTTCATTCTCTTTATTGGAAAAGCAGCTTGATGACATGCAAAACTCCAAAAGGTGGCTGGTAAAGAGGCTTGATGCATTAGAGTTTTGCAGTCTTGACAACATGGCGATGTGGTCTTTCAACTACAACAACTCTTTGTGGCATATAAGGTGGGGATTTAAGTGTTCAATCCCCTAAGATTTCAAATAAGAAGTTAAATTATGAAATTCACCTCCTCCGTTGGTATAAAAAGATAATACTTTTGTTCGAAACTGACATTCAAGCAATGAATGTAGTAGTGTTTTGAAAACATCTAAAACCTTGTGTTTGGACTGAATCGTGTGGAGCCACATGTATTTTGAAAACTAATCCACAAACCAAATATAATATCTTTTCCTATCGATGAACAAAACTGGTGACGGGACCCATAAATCACTGTAAGTAATTTGGAGAGGCATGTGACTCTGTAAAGAATTTGTTGAAAAAGATTGCCCGTGGCTTTTATTGGATTGACATGAATTACAATTGGAATGGAGAATTCATTTAAAAACAAATCTAAAGTAGCGCGTGTTGGGTGCCCCAAATGCTAATGCCACAAAACTAAAGACACAACCACATTGCATTGCGGTTGAGATGAAGAAGGATTGTCTAGCGGCCACTCACAAAGGCGCCCTCTACTCCGCTCGTGAACTAACGGCGCCCCCGTACTCAGATCCTTCACAAGATAAGAGAATGGAAAGAATTCAATAGATGTTTAATTGTCACAATAAAATTAAGAAATTGAAATCAAGTTACTGGAAATGGAAGGGGAGCAAAGTATATTGGATAATTGAAAGCTAGAACCCAATGCAGATGAATCAGTGTTACCAGTGTAAGAAATTGGTATGGTGTTACCATTTCCCATAGTGATTTGTTCTGGACCATTGTAGTCAGCAACGTTGTTGAGACTGTGGGTATCCGATGCAACATGATGTGTATCCCTAAATCGACTATCCATGCAGTAGATTGCTGCATGTGTTGTCTAGCAAAGTTGGCCCGTGCCTGAAAAAGATTATGAGACCGAGCACAACAAACATGAGCAGAGTGTCCAGGTCGGTTACATAACTGACACTAAGTTGACTTCTTGCGAATTGGTGCGATGATTGCACCCTGACTCAAAACGTTGCTGTAGTTGTTTGAATGCCTATTAGTGTTGGTGGCACTGGTCCGCGTTTGAGAGCTGGACCTTTAAGCAACAACAATAGTAATAATAGTGGATTGAGGCGGAGCATTGTGTTTGAGGAAAATCTCGTGATCACTATGCTTTTCAAACAATTCAGCATATGAAATTGGGGTGTCATGTGCTCGAATTGCTGCAGAGATTTCGCAATATTCTGGTCCAAGACCAGTGAGAATCTTGACAATGAGTTCGGCATTGGTGACAGGAGCTCCTGCAGTCGCAAGCTCATCACTGAGATCGAACTTGGTTGAGATAGTCTGTTACAGGGAGACTCTCTTTCATGACACGATTGAGGCGATCTCGCAACCTGAATATGCGAGTTTGTGACTTATTTTCATAAGCCATATGGAGGGAATCCCAGGCTGCATTGGCTGTGGTTGCAGCGGCTATAATGGCAGCAAGAGTGGGATCTACTGATGCTAAAGTTGCGTTTTGATTTAACTGGTCCTGACGAAACCAATTAACATAATCGGGGTTGGCAATTGTCGGGTTGTTGTTGGTGGTCTCAGCAGGAGCAAGGATAGTCCCATCTAGATGGCCATAAAGATTGTGTCCTCTCATGAGCATGGACACTTGGGCCTTCCACAGTGAGAAGTTATGGCTGCCAACAAGTCTAATCGTAAGCTGGGTAACTGAGTTGAATTGAACAATGGTGGTAGTGTTAGTTGCATCAGAATTGGTAACTGAGGGTGCCATTGGTGGTGAGTGGATAATAAGAAACTTAGAACTCTGTGTGGAGAAGAAAAACTCTTGATACCATATAAAGGTTTGAGGTATAGAAGAGAAAGATACTTTTATTCACATACGACCTTCTCTTTAAATAGAGCCAATACAAAACTGATAAGGTACATTACTAACAGAAACCTAGAGTATGGGAAACTATTGAAGTTCTAATTAGTAAAGATGACTAGCTACATAAATCATCATATGGCTGAAATACAAGAAACTAATAACAGACTCCTAAACAAAAGGGTAACATCTATTATCTATTAATACCTAACGGGCTAAATTGATAACGCATGTCCTTGACCGCATATAAATTTAATTGTACTGTGTTCTCGGTGAACAAAATTATCTTTTGATTTTCTAAATTGGACTAGTAAAAGTGGACATCTATTTTTGGTACACGGAGGGAGTAGTTTGATAACCTATCTTTGTGCGAGTTTAGTTTCAACTTTTTAAAGTTTGAAAATCCAGTTCAAGATTCAGTGTCAGGGCATGATAATGAGAAACAAGAGGGATTTTCCTGATTCTAACCCCATACATGCTTTCTTTCTGATTAACTATGTATACTGAGCATGGATTTCCATTGTGCTAATCGAATCATGTTGTTTTCTACAATGTTTGATTGTGTTCTGCTACATTTCTGGTTCTATCACATGCAGCAATTGCAGTGATATATCCTCTCTTTGTTGAAGAGGGGAGACTAATTGATCATGAGCATAAGAGCGTTGCTGCATTTGCTGAGATTTCTTCCCCTCAACAGTTGAACAGTTTCAGATATCGGAGGAACAGGCAGACAAAGTAGTTGTTAATCTACTAGATTGGCAGGTATTCATTGCACATCTCTTTCACAATGTTATTTGCTGTCGTAAGATACTTTGCAAACTGTCACCACACTAATGGAAAAACCATTTCTAGATTTGTAACAATAATTTCTAAATGATTTTTTTTTTCAAAAGCTTAACCTTTGTAAGTTGGTTGCATATCATCATCCGATCAACAATCAAGCAACGATGCCTCAATCCAAATCAGTTGGGGTGGACGAGTTGGTTTCTATGTATTACTGTATTGTATTTGTCTGGGTTCATCTGGATGCTCTCTCTAGTTGTTAATTGGCTAATCCTTGCATTGCTCCAAGTACATTAAATTCTCCATCTTATACAAGTCCACTTGAATTTCTGGTTTATGTTTGTTCATTTCATAGGTGATACCTGCTGAAAACATTGTTGCGGCTTTTCAAGGCACTCAGACAACTGTACTTGCTGTCTCAAAGACCCAATCAGAAGCTCAAGTCTTTCTTGAGGTAGTATACTAGGCTGAACTTTAAGTCATGAAGAAACTAAAGTCTCACACAAAGTAGGGGATATTGTGGTACTTAGAGTGGTGTTTTGCTATTAAGAAGCACCAAGTTTCACTTCCATCTTTTCTGCTTTGCTAGGCCTTGGAACACGGTTTGGGTGGTGTAGTAATGAAAGTTGAGGATGTTGGCGCAATCCTTGAGCTGAAGGTAGTGCCTTCTCAAAAGGGGATTCTTCCTTGTGAAGAGTTGGTTTTTGATGTCAGTTGTCATTGTTAGGGTTATTTTGATAGAAGACGTGATGTGGACAGTCTGTTGAACTTGACGAAAGCCATAATAACTCATATTCAAGTGACTGGAATGGGTGACCGTGTCTGCGTGGATATCTGCAGCCTCATGAGACCTGGTGAAGGTCTTCTGGTTTGCTCCTTCTGTCCTGTCTATTTCTGTTTGTCTACAATTTGCAAATAGTCTTAGTTTTTGGCATTTCAATTTCATTCTTACTGCATAACTTTTGTCCCTTAGGTTGGATCCTTTGCAAGAGGGCTTTTCCTTGTTCACTCAGAATGCTTGGAGTCAAATTACATCTCTAGCAGGCCTTTTCGAGTTAATGCGGTGCGTCCCATTTGAAGCCATTTAAATGTTCAGTAAACGATCGAAAGGACAACAACTTTAACTTGACAGTGAAAGTATCATTTTTTTATTTCAATGTTTCGTTAGCATTTCTGGTGGTTTGCCAAACAGTTATCTCCACAAACTGGATCTTAGTGCTAACCTCTAGAGAAGACATTTCTAGTATTACCATAACTGCATTTTCCCCTTGTGACTTTTATAAGTTTTTGTTCCAGATCCTCAACCCCAATTCTTTTTGGTGTTGAATTGCGTTAATGCATCTCAAACTATAATGTACAGCCAGTGGTCTTCAGTATGACAATTCTTTGGACTTTAGCAGGGGCCTGTCCATGCATATGTTGTTGTTCCTGGAGGAAAGACTAGCTATCTCTCGGAACTCAAGTCTGGGAAAGAGGTCATTGTGGTTGATCAAAGGGGTATGCAGCGAACAGCAATTGTTGGCCGTGTAAAGGTAGAGGCTAGACCACTGATCCTTGTGGAGGCAAAGGTTTGTGAAGCTTTCCATCTCTGCTAAAATTAAAGGTTCTCTGCCTTCTTTGCTTGTTAGTGTGATTTTCTTGCTCGTGTAACTTTGGCATATTGTGGCTATGGATACAAGCATAATACAACTATTCATCATAGAGTATCTCAAGTAGGAAAATAGAAATCAAATTAGCTGGACAAATGTGATTTGACAAGGATATCTGTCACTACCCAAGACTACCCCTAGACATGACATGGTACCTAGAATCCCGAGAGACTCTAAGTGAACCACATGACATAGCTTGACACTAAGAAAGCATACATAATTGAAATAGCAAGGAAAGCGGAATAAAGTCTCAAATGATACTTTCAAAATATAGGGATAATATGAATACAGGACTTATAACTGGGAAGTAATAATGTCTGAATAAGCCTCCACTATGTAAGTGAGTCACTCGGACAAGCCTTAGCTCACTCGAACAGTTAAATCTGAAATAAAGTCTGAAATGATCATAAAGAAAACAAAAGTGGTATGTCCCTAAACCATGAGAACTTATCAATACTGAACAAAGCTAATAAGAATATACTAACCACACATCTGATGGGAGCATCAACACCTATATTATAAGTCAATATAGGCACAAGAATGAATGCGTTCAGTACTCAGAATGTATTGTGTATGGGAAAATACATAAACATGGCATGATAATGCAAAGATCAAGTAAACATAGCATTAAATTGATGATTTGATTCTGAAAACATAGTACAAGGTCACACATTAGTCTATAAATCATAATAATAACATATGTAGTAATCATAAGCTTTTGTGGGAGATACCGTAAATAGACATAAATCATGTGAGCTATAACATGGAGTTCAGTTTACTGCTCCCACAGCGAAAAGAAAGTGCCCTACTTCCCCAGGTAAGGACCATAATCATGAGCTTAGGTGGATCCACCAGCTAAAGTCAATTAAGGCAAAGTCCTAATTGGGCACGTAGTTCTGGACCTGGGTAATCACCATTAATCCAACTCGGTGCTAAGTAAACTCCCAACGGAAGACATGCATAATCATATTCATATTCATAATCTTTGAAACAATAAGAATTTAGTAATACCGAATCATCATACAAATCTCACAGTCATACGAATAACTCATTTAGAATCATGATTTCATAACATACTCTTGAGACACTTATTTGAAGCATCTAAATCATGATATTCATACATAATGGGAGATACTTTAATTGGAAGCATCAACATTTCATAAACACTTCTTGATACTTTATCCTTAAGCATCCTTAAGCATCCTTGATTCAAAAATCCTTCCTAAAATAATGCATGCTTATCAACATAGCTTGAATCATAATCATAAAATACTTGCATAATATGGGTTCATCAGAATATTATTGAAAAACATTAAATTATGATCAAATCTCTCATATTATTGAAAACACTAAATTATGATCAAATCATGCATAATATGGATCAATCATGAAGAGTAAACTTAAAATCAATTGAACCCATAAGAAAATCATGGAACCCTAGAATTGGGTAAGAATCGTAATTGGAGAAATTGAGGTTTCTTTGGGACTCAATTGGTGAAGAAGGACCCATTGATGAAGTTCCCACATACCTTGAGGAAAACCTTAAGTGAAATCTTCAATGGAGATTTGAAATCCTTGGAACCCTAGCTTTCTTGGGGAAGAAGACTTGAGAGAGGAATTTTGAATTTAGGAGAATCAGAGTGAGTGTGGGAGGTTAGGGTGATTAGGAATCCTTTAAAGTCTTCTAAATAGGCTCAAAACTACAAAGCACAGGAGTTAAAAGAGTAGGAAAAGACCCAAATACCCTGACTAAAAACTGGCAAGCCACCCTTCACGGGCACCATCCACGGGCTATGAATCCTTCGATGGTCTGTGGACCCTCTTGTCGTGTCGAAGCCCAAAACTTCCAGCTTTCTGATCCTTCATTCCACGATAGGGTCTACGGCTTATGGATACTTTCACTGGCCGTACAACCCTCCCATGCAACCATCCTTGACCAAAGTTCCCTGAAGTCTAGTGGCATGGTCTACGGACTCACCCACGGTCCATAAAACCAACCATGGCTCGTGAATCCCAACTGTCCTGTCACCCCTCATTTATCAACTTTCTGAACGTTGATCCGTGGACTGCTCTACGGTCCGTACATCTGTGGTCCACGACTTAGAGATTTCAATTCCTCAGGCTCCTTCCACGGACCGTGAAACCTTATACAGTCCGTGAATGCCCTCATGGAAGCCAAACCCAGCAAATTTGCACCAGATCTGAAACTCTTTACTTCCAACTGAACACATACTTCCAAGGTGTTACAATATCTTAGCTTGTTCTTTCTCAAAAAAAAAAAAAAAAAAAAAAAACAAGAAGGAAAGTTGCAATCTGCAAATGTTGGTGTACGCCTGACATACTTGAAGTATTTAACTTCTGGGTGAGACTTCTTGTTCAAGAGTAAAAGAATTGAGCATAAGGCATGCGCACACCAGCAAAAGAACAAGTTGGAAAATACCTTTAGGTAGCTCTGTCGTATAACTCATTGAGTTGTTCATAGTACTACTAGTTTCAGCATCTGCAACTTGCAACCTTTTACGTGAAAATGAAGAACTATTATAAAGTTTCGCTGACTGGTTTAACTTTCAACCAGTTACATTTGTCTATTTGTATCTCTAATCCTAATTTGGAAATGGCAATCATGCAGGTAGAATCTGATAATGAAAGCTATTCCATTCTCTTGCAGAATGCGGAAACGGTTGGATTAGTCTCTCCCCTTCATGGTAAATAATCTAGTCGAAGGAGCTTTCTCTTTTTGCTCTTTCTGTGGTTCAACATCCCTATCTTTATGCAGGTGAGGGACATCAGCGTACAACAATTCCAGTGACCTCACTAAAAGTTGGTGATGAGGTTTTGCTTCTACTACAGGGAGGCGCTCGACATACTGGAATAGAAATTAAAGAGTTTATTGTTGAGAAATGAGTTATTTTCCGCACATTCACACATTTTGCTGACAGATGAGTGGCCTTAACCTCTTAATGATGATACAAATGTATCTTTACTAAATTCCTTAATTTTGTACCCAAAAAAGTTGTCAAATAAAACAACTTGGCTGACATGTTGATAGAAACCGAGGTTTTTTCTAGATAAAAGCAACAGAAAATACAAAGAGAGACACAAGTATCTCGTAGAACAATAGAAAGTACAAAGAGAGACAAGTATCTTGCATCTCTTAGAACAACCTTTTCTACATACAAAAGATATATCAACACATGTCTACTTATTCTAGTTCTCCTATTATATAATAGATAACTATATCTACTTCATAACTATTTAGAATAAGGATAGGTAACTTCTAGGAACTATAAAGAACTGTCAAATAACTCCTAATAACTGTAAGTAATCGCTCAATGCTCCATGCATGGATGAAATCTCTTGGAATTTGAGAAGATGCAAATCATTATCTCCTCCTATCTTTCTTCGCTTCTTCCTCCTTAAATAAATATGGAAGATATGTGCCTTATTACATGTACTCAAATAGGATTTTGATTTTTGATTATCCTTCTAACTCATTTCGATTATGTTGAATGAGGGATACTGTATAAATATACCCCCTGTTATAAAATAAGTATCAATGCTAAGATAACAAAAAAGATGGATGAGAAATAGTAGGTGTAGTATTTTTCTTTTCACTTGTTCTTGCTTCTTTCTTTGTTACAAGAAGAGGGGGTATATAGTTGTATATACTTGAGCACCAAGTGTGATACATGGATATCTTTTTGGCATGTATACATTTTGAGCACCAAGTATATCATATAGCTAACTAGTATACACCACTTAACATATTATGTGTATAATTAACTTACAACACATGCCATATTAATTTGGACATCCATTTTACATTACTCCCCCTTGGATGCCCATATAAAAGAAAAAATAATAGTGGAAGAAAAACTATAGTAATATGCATAATTTGTTGTCTCATTAAAAACCTTATTAGGAAAATCAGTGGTATAAAACCTTGGTTAAGGAAAAAAGAGTGCAATGCGTATTTACTCCCCCTGATATCTAGAAGATGACACATTCCGATCTTGTTTCTCAACTTCTCAAAGATTGAAGTTGGTAATGCCTTGGTGAGCATATCTGCTAAATTATCACTAGAAGGAACTTGTTGAACATTTATTTCATCCTTCGTCTTAAGATCGTGAGTGAAAAAAGAATTTTGGTGATATATATTTGGTTTTGTCTCCTTCGATGTATCCTCCTCTTAGTTGAGCTATACATACAACATTGTTCATATATAATTTCGTTGGAATCTCTTTCCTCGAAGGAAAACCACATGTTTCCTAGATGTGTTGAGTTATAGATCTCAACCAAACATATTCTCGACTAACTTCATGAATGGCTATTATTTCTGCATGATTTGAAGAAATATCAATCATAGTTTGTTTTGTTGAACACCATGATATGGTTGTACCTCCATATGTAAATAGATCGACCTCTATATGGGTTAGACAAATATCATGCATCTGCATAACCAATTAATTGTGAATCGGACCCTTTTGAATAAAATAGTCTCATATCTATGGTTCCTAAAAAATAGCTGAATATGTGCTTAATACCATTCCAGTGTCTCTGTGTTGGGGAAGAACTAAAAATATATTTGGTCGAGAATTATAAGGAAGGTACATCAATGCACCAATTGCACTAAGATATGAGGTCTCATCGCCAACAAGTTTTTCATCATTTTCATGAGGTCAAAATCTATCTTTATTAATATCAAGTGATCTTACAATCATTGGGGTACTTAATGGATTTGCTTTATCCATGTAAACTCTTTTAAAAATAATTTTGGTATATGTCGATTGATGAATAAATATTCTATTCGTAAAATGTTCATTTTGTCCTTCCAAGATCTTTCATTTCAAATTTCTTTTTGAGACATTCTACTGCCTTTGAAATCCCTTCACGAGTTTCACTGATATTCAAGTCATCAAACATATACCGCTATTATAACAAATTCTGATCCAAACCTTTTAATAAATACACAAGGACAAATTGAGTCATTCTTGTACCCTTTCTTTAATAAGTATTTGCTAAGGCGATTATACTACATGCGTCCTGATTATTTCAATCCGTATAATGATTTTTGAAGTTTTATTGAACAAGTTTCCTGAGAATCTTTATACATTTCAGGCATTTTAAACCCTTCATGATTTTTCATAAAAATGTCGTTGTCTACTGAGTCATATAAACAGGTTGCAACGACATTCATTAGATGCATGTCAAGTTTTTCATGAACTTCCATATTAATAAGATACCTGAAAGTGATTGCATTCACCACATGAGAATATGTTTCTATATAATCAATGTCAGGTCTTTGTGAAAATCGTTGTGCCACAAGTCATGCTTCATATGTTACGACTTCATTTTTCTCATTTCGTTTTCGTACAAAAACCTATTTGTACATGACAAGATTTATACCTTCAGGTGTTCAGAATATCGGTCCAAAAACTTTGTGTTTTTCAAGCGAATCTAATTCAACTTGAATTGCATATTTCCATTTTGGCCAATCACTCCTCTGTATACATTGCTCGACAGATTTTGGTTCATAATCCCCATCTTGTTGCATTATTTTAATAGCAATATTATAAGTAAAAATATTGTCGATAATTATATTATTTCGATTGCACATTTTTTTCCAATGAGACATAATTTATTGAGATCTCTTCGTTATTTTCAGGCACTTGAACCTCTTCCAAGGTTTCATCAATTATTATGTCTCCTTACTCTTCTTGAGTAGGTTCATTTATATCATGACCATTTGTTCCTTTCCTTTTTCGAGGATTTTTACTTTAGAACCAATCGGTCTATCATGTTTTAAACGTGCTTTAGACTCATTTGCATTAATTAATTAATTGTCCTACCGAGACATCAACTCGAGAATATGAGATTTAGTAACTCTTGATAAGTCAGTAAATGCTTCTGGCAGTTGATTTGCAATATTTTGCAAATGAATTATCTTTTGAACTTCTATTTCACATTTATTTGTGTGAGGATCTAAATGAGATAGTAATAATGTATTCCAATCTATTTCCTTTTTCAGTTGCTTATTTTCTCCCCCTAATGTTGCGTATGTTGATTCATCAAAATGACAATCAACAAATCTTGCCGTGAATAAATCTCTAGTAATAGGCTCCAAATATTTTATAATAGAAAGAGATGCATACCCAATATATATCCCAACGTTCTTTAGGAACCTATCTTTGTACGTTGTGGTGGAGCAATTGGAACATATACCGTACATCCAAATATTCTAAGATGGAAAATGTTTAGTTTTTGATCAAAAGTCAATTGTAATGGGGAGACTTTATGATAACTTGTAGGCCTAATCCTCACAAGACTTGCTGCATGCAAAATAGCATGACTTTATAATGAAATGAGAAATTTTGTTCTCATAAGCATTGGTCTAACATTTAATTGGAGGCGTTTAAATAATATATCTGCTAGACCATTTTGAGTATGAATATGAGCGGCCGAATGCTCAACTATTATCCCAGTTGATATACAATAATCATTAAAAGCTTGGGGTGTAAATTCACCAACATTATCGAGATGAATCTATCTATATATAATAGGAGAAGTAAAAAGTGTCACATGTCATCACCATAAAAATCTAATAATTACTATTTAAAAAATAAATAAATTAATAATAAAAATAAATAAAGTAAAAAATTATTGTAAAAGAATATGTAACTAAAAAGAAAAAATGTAGATTTTCACAAGGGAATTGGGTAGTATTTTTATTTATTTTTTCAGTTTTTTAGTTTATTAAATTCTATTCCGATTGTAGTAAAATAATTTCCCACAGTTAATATAACTTTAAGTTTGAAAATCTGAAATCGCAAATAACTGTTACCATATTTAAACGTACTTAATTATCTTATCCATCTTCAAACCAATCATTCATTGAATTCACCCTTTAATAGTCACTTTCAATTTTCTTCCATATTTTCTCATTCAATTTCAATGACACCAAAGTCATAGAAGCAGGGGTGGAGCCACGTAGGCTCGACACCCTTCGTCGAAAAATTATACTATATATACACGTAAAAAATTGACTTTATATTGGTATATATAAAATTTGAACCCCCTAAAATAACAAATTGATGCGTAGTGGATTTGGCAATAGCATGTGCAATCCTACTCTTTGTCCCGGTTCGAATCCTTGCTAATATCATGAAGGTCTCCAAGACCCAAGTTTGAATCCCTCCTCTACTAACTTTTTTTTTTTCAATTAAAATTGAATTATTTCCTTAAATTTTAATACCTTTTCCTTGTAGAATAAGACTTCCTTAATTTAATACTTTTTCTTGTGGATTTTTTTCAATTAAAATTGAATTATTTCCTTAAATTTTAATACCTTTTTCTTCTGGAATAAGATTTCCTTAAATTTTAATACTTTTCCCTTATGGAATAAAGTTTTCTTTCTCTATAAATAGGAGACTCATTTACCCAAATTATATCACAATATTATTAAGAATAGAATCTCAATAATTCTCTCTTTGTTTTTTCTTCTCGTTCTCTTATTTTATAACAAAAATAACCAACTTAATATTTTAGTTTCAAGTTTCAATACACATGAGGAATTATTATAATAGAGTACCAAAAAAAAGTTCAATTTCTCTAAGTCAACCAAATAAAGAAACAACGGTAGATCAATTAGAGATGTTGTCACATTCTTCTCAAAAACAAAGTATTGATTTAAATACTCTAAAAATGACTTGCAAAATTGAATGGATGATGAGTTTTTAGACGGTTGTATAGTGCCTTATGTAGAAAAGAAAGTATTTCATACTATTTCTAATGAGTCTATTATAAAAACGTTTTAGGTTATGAAACCTCGTCAAGTATAATTGTAATAATATATTTAAATTATGTTTTCAATAGTAGTTTATTTTCTTTATGTTAGTTTTGAATTATACACTTGTAATTCTATTAAAAATATTCTTATATTTAATTAAATATTGCTTAACTTGATTATTTGTTTTGGTGATTTA